GGACTTCCCCACGTCCATCGCCGTCCAGTTGGCTTCTCGAACATAGAGGTTCCGTGATAAAGGCCACATGCAGACAGCAAGTCAAGCAGCCTTTCTCCGTTCTCGTTTCGACTGTTCGTTCCATGGGGCCCGAGTCGCCAATCGCCGTTGTGGTTCGTGCCTATAAGGGCATTGAAGTCACCAACCACATACTTGTAGTAAGTTCTCTCATTCTGAATCGTATCTTCCAGAAGCTGGTAAAATTCTTCGCGTTCTTCGTCAGTGGCGGTGGAGGTGGGTGCATATCCATTGATAATGGATATGGCTCCTTGATCTTTGGTCAGCAAGCGTAGAACAGCGATGCGTGGACTGATGATTTTGTGAGAGTCTACTAGATGGACCACTGCCTGGTTTATGAGAAATCCAACTCCGCCGACATTCTTGCCATCCACCTTGGCTCCAACAATAAGCAGCTCGTTGTGATCGGTTTTCCTAATGGTTTCCGTTCTGCCCTTCGTTTCTTGTATAGCGATAACATCGTACTTGATCTGACGACTCCTCAGCAGAAGTGTTCGGAGATCAGCATCCGATGCAATAGTCCGACAATTATACGAGCAGACGAAGAGGCAGTCCTTGTGTCGTTGGGTGGGGGAGTTTCCGGGTTTCCGATTAATCTGATGACGTCCTGATTCCCTGACGAGATTAGATGGCCCCATCGGTAGAGGCAACTCCTGACGTCGTAGAAGAGCATATCCGATGTACGCAGGACTGGGGCGCTATTGAAGCTGTTTGAGCAGAAGAAGTGGCTTAGGTTACTCCCTTGTTCCTTGCTAGGGATACAAGAAAGCCGCCCATACACACATTACTGTGCGTACTGCGTAGCCGTTTGTACCGTTGGCCACCATTAGTGGTGTACACCCTATCACCGCGGTGAGGTGGTACATGATAGGGATTCTCAAAATATGCTTTAAAAATAGTAATGAAAATTTATAGCAAGTAATAGATATAAAGCCTTTTATACAGACAACAAAAACCTACAACTACTATACAGTTACCGATATAATCTATTTATTAAACTACTTATTGACAAATAGCTATTGTAAATTCTCAGAATACTTATTTGTTCAAAAAACAGGTGTACCGCAGGAAAGTAAGGTCAGCCCTTGATTGGCTGACTGAACCTCTGACCTCTTATTTCAGTTCCTGCTTTCATATATTCCGTATCACGGCAGCTAGAGAGGGCGATCTGTCGGACATACTGTGAGCGCTACTGGTTTAAGTATCTGTTACGTTTTGAGAGCTCACGGATGAAATAAAGGGAACGTCCTTCTGCCTGCAGGCTCTAATAGTCACGCCGTCACTTTTTTCGATCCGACTCCCTTCCAGAAGTACGCTGATACCTTACAGTCGAATGATTTCAAAGGCAGTCGCTCTTAAGGCATCATGATATGAACAGAAGTTTGCTGTATGCTTTGCACTCGGGGAAAAAGTGGCTCTCGCGAAAGATACCGTACGATGAATACGCGAGAGAAGAGAAATGTGGGGAAGGTGGGAGATACGAAAGCTTACCCCGATCACCACAATTTTGGGTCGAAAATGGGAAGGCCCGGGGCAGAACGAAAATGGACAATTTGCGAAAAGGAAGTACAGATACTGGCTCAGAATTAGGGACTGCGGAACTGACAGAATGGCAGACTGCATGAGGAAGAAAGCAGTCCAGCGTCTATCCTCAAGGAGCTGCATTTCATCGATTCTTCATTTTGAGGATTTCCAACGTGACGAACTAAACTGTTACATATTGGATCTTTTTTTAACCGTTTCTTCCTCACAATGACGCAGACTGCAAACGCAATCTTAGGCCTTTATGCAAGGGCAAGTGACGCACATATACCTTTGATGGGACTGCATCGCACCCATCTTGTACATTTTCAGCGTATAGATCAACTGACATCAGCATCATTCACTTCCCC